AGAGAAAAAGACCAGAAAGGTCACCAAGGCATTCTGGCAGTGTAGAGGAGCCATGAACAAAACTTGGGGATTATCTCCCAGGATTGTTCTGTTGGTTTTCCCCGCCGTAATCCGACCTATGTTCACCTATGTACCTAGAAGCAAATAGTAGCTAGGAACAGAATGCAGCAGCTACAAAGGTTAGCATACACACAGGGGCAATGAGAATCACACCAACAATGGCCATGCAAGTGCTGCTGAGACTGCCGCCTCTTGGTGCATATCTTAAAGGCGAGGCAGAGAGAACAGCAAGCAGACTGCATTCCATTGGATTGTGGTGTAGAGGAAGCGGGGTTCAGGGCATGCCCAGGAGTTTTCGGAGGCTGCGTCGAACGACAACCACTGCTGGAACACCGGACAGATGCAATGATTTCACGCTTCATCTTCAATAAGGCCTTTAAGGTAGAACTAAATGGCCTAACACAACCAGGCATAAGAGCAGATATACATATTTACACGGATGGCGCAAAAAGCAAGTCGGAAACTGGGCTAGGCGTGTGGATACCTGAGCTCGGCCTAAAAATAAGTACAGCTTTAGGCACATATGTGTCAGTTTTCCAGGCAGAGCTGCTTAGAATAATGCAGGGAGCTGTACAAATACGGGAAAGGAGGATAAGGGGAACAACCATCACCTTTCTGACATATAGCAAACAGGTATTGCAAGACTTAAATAAGGTGAAAGTAATATATAAATTAATCCTTGAGTGCCGTGAGACACAAGAGGCGATTGCCCAAGAAAATACGGTCATGGTGTCGTGGATTAAAGGTCACTATGGCAATCAAGGAAAGGAAAGAGCAAATACTCTAGCACGCACTGGAGCTAAAGGAAAACCAATCGGCCCCGACCCGTTGACTAGGAAAACTGTAAAACTAGAAGTCAAAGAATACTTAGACAGAATTCTTAGAGAGAGATGGGAGAGTTAGGACTTCAGACACTCGAGAGCCGCTATCGGTGGCCCTCGGGCTGTCTTAACAAATGACCTCCTTAAACTGTCTAGGAATAACCTGAGGAAACTGATAGCAGTACTTACAGGCCACTGTAAGTTAAATAAGCACATAAACGACCCAACATGCAAAGGGTGCCCAGCTCTCGTGAAAACTAGAGAATCTATTATGGGGGACCGGTGGCCATCAATGGCCACAATTAGAGGGTATTCCGCCGCCACATTATTGAACTATATCAATACTGTTGGCTGGCTTAACGAGTAACACTTTAACGGAGGATGCAATAGGCCCACTAAAGAGACCTAAGGTGATACAAGTCACCGCTCCAAATCTCTATCTACATCTATTGACATCTACTACACGAAAGACATAACATCTCAAACATAATAGACACACACCCCGGAATGACAGTCGAAACTATATTAAATTGCTCAATATTTTACAAATGAGGATTGCAACCAAGACATCAGAGATTGTACCTCATCCAAAACGATTAAAAATAGGGTTGGTTAACGTTGTTGGATCAGTTTTTAAATAAATCACAGGAAACTTAGATGCTTCTGACGGTGAATATTATGACGAAGAAATTAAAAATTTTAAAAACCAAAAAGAGTGGGCAAATAACATCCTAAAACAATAGTAGTATTATGTGTGAATGTGTTATGTTTATGTCTACGTAAATGTATAATATGTGTGTGTCCAGATGGTCAACATCTAGAGGTAAGTATGAATTATGGAAAATACTGAATTATCTAAGAAATTTTTTATTAATTATTAATTGTTAATCAAAACTTATTTTAATAAATAATAAAAAATACGTGAGCCTGGAATAGAATTTTTTTTCCTCAAATTTCCTGTCCATTATACACACATTCAACATGTTAAATACACCCATTATACTCAATTTCAACAATCTATTATCCATCAGTTTTAAAACAGTGAATGACCAATGTTAAATCAATTTCTATGAATAATTATGATAACATCGTCAAAAGCTGTGATTTCAGCCTTCCATGTCCGATTTCGACATGCCCAACTGCATATTTTAGTTTGTGTATTTTGAACCGAATAATCTGATTTAAAGCACATAAACCGCAATTGATTTATAAAAAAAAAATGTTTGCAACAAGTTTTCGAATTTAAGCTCATGAGTGCTTTTAGTTAGTAAACTTTAGAGTTATGTGGATATTAATAGCAAAACATCTTAGCAAAGTTTCAAACTATAATGTTATTAATAGAGAGTTGTGGCAGCCGCGTCCTCAAATTAGTAAACTGTTGAATTGCAAACGATAATAATACTCGAGGTTAAACAGTGATCGGTGTATTTGCTGTTTAACCATTTCTAGTTTCCTCTACTTAATTAAATTGTAATTATTGCATGTTGCATACTTGTGCGACTAACGAACCGTATATCGACAATTGGATTTGAGTCAGAAACAGAATTGTTCCATATTGTATTGAATAAATTTAGGAGCTACTTGGTATAGTTTATTCATTTCCCAGCACAATTACTGTCCAACTAGGCAACCAAGATTTTTGTTGAATATTGTTTGATTTTCAATTCGATCTATAAAGGCTCAAACTTAATTCAGTACGTGATTTATTTTATTTCGTTGGCGATAGCAAGCAAACTATATGGATATATATCCTGATGAAACAATTACGGTTCCATTGCATAGCTTTACCAACGTAAACAATAAGAGAGAATTTAAATTGCTTGCGATTTTCACAATTTTGTGGGCTATGATAGATATATTATGCATGAATTCATGAGTGGAAATATTCAATTTCCATTATTTTCATACTGGAAAAAGTGCATAAACTAATCAGGCTACAATACAAAAACTCAGTCAAATATTGATTGATTATATCTAATAAAAAAACTAATGAGTTCAATTTACTGATTTATTTATTTATTATTGCACGCATATAAAAAGATTAATAAAACCTCGATATCAATACACGAGCTTTATTAAATACTTAGGCTTAATTTGTCCGCTATTATATCGGGGCATAGCAGACATTCTTTATTAATTAATAATCGGATTTTGCGGGTCAAAATACACAACACATTATGGAGTTGCCTCGCTAATACGAAACTCACATTAGTGGAAAATGATCTTTATTTTTCGTCTTCAATCTTTAGCGTTTAATATATTGGAATTCAGTTATTACCAGTGTTGTCAAATTTAAAATTATCAGGATTTGAGAACAAAATTATCAGATTCCAAGGAAAATTATCAGATAAAGTTTCTGTCAACTTTTTTTGACTTTTTATCTCTATTTTTATTTTTTGGGTTCTAGCTGGAACTCTGGTAATTGTAGCTCTCAATAAGAGCTTCAAAAAAGGTTATTCAGGACTTCAAGCCCAAGGGCTTCATTTTCAAGATAATCGGCTTTGAAGCTTTTGCAAAATTTCAGACAAAGTTTTAACTTTGAGCCTCAATATCTTCACAAGTATTTAAGATATAGATATTGAATGTTATTTTGCCTTGAAGATAATTTAATTCTGATTCAGAATATATAATTTTACATTATATTTGTTACAATAATAACCGAGTAATCAGCAATTTTGTGAAAGAATGTCAGACTATTGAAATTTTTTTGAGGCCAAAAATTGCAAATATCATTTTTATTTTTTCACTAGCCTTAAAACCCTTAAAACAAAGCTGTATAAATGCTTTTCTACTAACTTTCACCTCTTCTTTTGATTAGTAAAGTCAAAAATTGCAAAATCCAAAAATTTAAAAATTCGAACTTTTCCAAAGGGATGCATGGTAATTGGATTTTCAAATATTTCAAATGCTTGTATTTTGGAAACCAGTGAAGCTATTGGCATGAATCTTTTGCCCAATTGTAGCTCTCAATAAGGGATACAAAAAAGCTTATCTAAGACTCCGAGCCCAAGGGCTTCGTTTTCAAGATAATCCGCCTGAAAGCTTTTGTAAAATTTGAGATAAAGTTTCAACTTTGAGCCTCAATATCTTCACAAGTATTTCAGATATAGAACTGAATCTTACTTTATCTTGAAGATAATTTAATTCTGATTCAGAATATATAATTTTACATTTATTTGTTATAATAATAACCGAGTAATCGGCAACTTTGTGAAAGAATGTCAGATTATTGAACTTTTTTTAGCCCAAAAATTGCAAAAATCGTTTTTATTTTTTTACAAGGCATTAAAACTCTAAAAACAAAGTTGCAAAAATGCTTTTTCACTAATTTTGATCTCCTCTTTTGATTGGTAAAGTCAAACATTGCAAAATTCAAAAATTTAAAAATTCGAATTTTTCCAAAGGGGTTTGCATGGGAATTTGATTTTCAAATATTTCAAAGGGCCATATTTTGGAAACCAGTAAAGTAATTGGCATGAAACTTTGGCTCAATCTGGGACTAGTGTTTGGTGCTCGCACCAGTACGTCAAAACACTCAAAACCAACTTCATTTTTTTAATAAATTACAGCTGTATGCAACAGCCTCTTTTAACTTAAAAGCGCTTTTTAAAACTGGTCACTTTTAAGATTCTGTATTCTAAGCCATACAAATTTTTAAAGGTACCAGTTTTGAAAAGCGCTTTTAAGTTTAAAGAGGGTGTTGCATACAGCGATTAATTTTTAACTAGAAATTTGAAAAATCTATATTAAAATTGTAGTTTCAATAAATTATGGTAGATTAGCTTGTCATTATCGATTATTGAATAGTAGTCAAAATTATGGTAGAATTCGATAATTATCGGGTCATTGGCAACACTGGTTGTTACACTTCAGAAGTGGCACTACAAAAGATTTCTTTCTAATAAATAATTACTGAGGTTAGTTTGAAAGTGGGAACAAATTCCTTGTTTTAAATAACGTATCGTTGGCTTTAGACCCAAATAAAGTTCAGCCTAGAAGTTTTAATAGTTACCAGACTCATTAAAATGAAACTTGATAGGCAAGATGATATTTACGTCTATTAATCGTCGCGCCTATATTTGAACTAAAAAAAAAACTTTTTTAATATGAAACACTTACCTAACTTGTTCAATTTCACTGGACCGAGTCTGTCGTAGTTTAACCACCAGAACCCTGATGATGTTCAGAAGAAATAAGAGATTTATCTGGAATAATAAAATATTTAGATTCTTATTTGAGAAATATTTTGTAGGTACCTACTTGTAATACAATTTGTGTAAACATGTTTTTCTTATTGATTGATATTTTAGATTAAGGTTTCCTTTCCAAAGATCTTGATAATGTAATTAATTTGTTTTTAAATAACACAAAAGCATTACTAAAGGTTAAATTAAAGGACCCCGCAAACTTCTTATGGGATTTTGGTTGAACGCGGAATTTAACCAAATTTTGGTATGTTGTATATTTCGACCTGCTGAGTAAAAATTCTCATGGGTACAAACCGATCCTATGACTAGTTTCGCATATACAGGGGGTTTTCTAATACAACAAAAATTGCGCCAACGAACTCACCCCAACTTTCGCTAAATTATTCAATTTGTCTTACAGGCAAGGAGTATATCCATCATCATGGAAGTCTGCCGCAGTACAACCCATTCCAAAGAAAGGAAAAAAGACAGATCCGTTAAACTATAGACCAATTGCTCTACTTCCGGTGATATCAAAAGTAATGGAAAGAGTTGTGAACAATCACCTAACCAAGTACTTGGAAAAGTACAAAATTATCAACGATAAGCAATATGGATTTCGAAAATATAGGTCAACTGGCGATTTACTTACATACGTCACTCACTTATGGCAAAAAGCGATTGAGTTGCGGGGTGAAACAAGAACAATAGCCTTAGATATATCTAAAGCATTCGACAAAGTTTGGCATGAAAATCTGCTCAACAAGCTCAAAGCAGTGGGATTATCGCCGAAACTTTGCACTTGGTTTGAAAGTTACCTAAAGGACAGATCCATTTATGTTGCACTGGATGGCCAAAACTCCAACTCTTACCAAATAAATGCTGGTGTGCCACAGGGAGCAATCCTTTCGCCAACTCTTTTCCTGATTTACATAAATGACCTTATAGATAAAACAGTAAATCCACTTTATTGCTTTGCAGACGATGGCAATGTAGTCTCCTCACTCATACCACCCACAGGTCTTTCCGCACGTGAATTCCATCATCTTAGACTAACTCAAATATCGCAGATAAATAACGACCTGGAGATAATAGAGGACTGGGGTAACAAAAACCTTGTACAGTTCAACGCGCAGAAAACCCAAGCAGCTCTATTTTCAAAAAAGACCAGCACCGGTGAGCCAAACATCATGCTATCTGGAAGTGCTGTCACATTACAGAGTCAGTTGAACATCTTGGGGGTTACTGCAGAGACCAACATGTCTTGGCACAGTCACGTGGCAGATATTGCTAAAAGGGCCTCCCAAAAGCTGGGGGTGCTATTTCGTACAAGACATCTGTACACACCAAGCCAATTGCTGACACTCTACAAAGCCCAGATTCGACCAACTATGGAGTACTGCTCACATATATGGAGTGCAGCACCCAAACATACCTTAATGCTTTTGAATACCGTGCAAAAACGAGCTATCAAGCTGATCAATGACCCCGCACTTACTCGTAACTTGGATGGTCTCGAACATCGCAGATCTGTGGGCGATTTATCTCTCTTCTACAGGTACTATCACGGAAAATGCTCTGAAGAGTTGGCACGTATGATTCCACCGAGAGTAGCACCTACCAGGCGAACCCGTCAAACAGACGGTAACCATGAATTTACTGTCAAACTAGAGGCACCAAGAACCTCATTATATCAGAATTCATATCTCTGGAGAACAGCATCGCTGTGGAATAAACTCCCTGCGACGGTTTTCCCTGCAGGTTACAACCTGAACCGTTTCAAGACCAACATACACCGACATTTCCGCGCACTTGCCGCTTCTCGAGCGTGATAGGACATTTCCTTGCGAGTGCGCATATCCGTAAAAAAAAAAAAACTACCTTAGGCAACCTAAGTACCTATATAAAGTGTACATAAAGCAAAAAAACTTGCATGTATTGCTTTAAAAGTTGTTTATTTCAGGCCTGGATTAAGGGAGGTCCTACCGGTTCTATAGAACCGGGCCCAACGTTCCAAGGGGCCCTCGCGAGATCGAAGATTAGACAAAAAAATTTGAACTTGAATGTTCAACAAACATTTCCAAAATTCCCCCAAAAGCTAACTTGACAAGATTATAAACCATCAACCTATAACGATTGTCTAACTATTTTTGAGGATAACTATGTTGCCATATTGAATGACAACATGGCGCAGTGAACCAATTGTTATATCATTGTAATACATAGTAACATTAAATACAGTGACTCCTATACCACAGTGGCGAAAATTGCCGTCTCATTTTTGTTTGGAACTCTAAAATCCGATATATTCATATGGAAAACGCCGCCATTTTGGGACTTACCTCTTGCTAATTTTAAATATAAATATACATACCTACTATACATGCATAATTATTAATGCTTTTTAGGTTAGTTCGTTATGGCTCTTTCTAAATTGGGTGTCCGGATATTCGACCGACAACGCTTGACAGGTGACAGACCTTGCATTTTTATGAAAATTGAGATAGGAACATGCAGCCTCAATAAAACGACACAGCGATGCGAAATTACGTATCGAGGGGTTTGTTAGGGCGAGAAATACAAATTCATTCACGGTTTTGATATCACTACTAGGGGGCGCCACCTACGGCACATCGAACTTTTTTAAATTATCAAAACTTTTTTTTAGTTTACCGCATCGATTTGAATAATAAAAAAATTGATTCCCCAACCATTTTTACGTATTAAAGGTGTACTTTATTCAAGCCCCTAGAGGTCACCGTTTCCGAGATAACCTTCATTGAAATTACCAGTGCAACGGAATTAAATATGTGAGAATTTAGAGGAAAAAATTATTGGTATTCGGGCTACAGTAAATAAAATAAACAAAATCAATTTGGCGAACCTTTGATGTTGAACTGATAGTGGCAAAACTTGATTCATGTGTGAAAGATTACTTATTAAATTTTCTCATTAATTATTTTGGAAGTTTAAATTTATTCTATTCATAAATTATGGATTATTCCTTCGATGAGTTTACTGATATGCTATTAGTATACGGAGAGGCCAGAAAGAATGGTAGAAGAGCAGCACGATTGTACGAAGGAAAGTTCCCGAATTGTAGAATACCCCATCATTCAACATTTAATAGTGTGGAAAGAAGACTACAAGAAACGGGGAATTTACTTGTTACAAGGAATAATGCAGGTAGGCAAAGAACTACTAGAAGTGTCCATGTAGAAGAGGCAATATTAGATAGAATTTTTGAAAACCCGTCTCTAAGTACTAGAACAACAGGGCGGGCATTGAACGTGAGCAAATCAACTGTTCATGAAGTTTTGAAAGAACAATTGCTATACCCTTATAAAATTTATCTAGTGCAGGCATTAGAACCGAGGGACTATCTCGTGAGAGTGGATTTTGCAAACTGGTTCTTACAAATGTGCCGTGAAAATCAGAATTTTCCCAAATATGTATTATACACGGACGAGGCAAAATTTACGAGGGAAGGAATATTTAATTCAAGAAATAGTCACGTGTGGGATGATGAGAACCCGCACGCAATTCTACAACGAGGGTTCCAATATAAATTTTCCATAAATTTATGGGCAGGAATTGTTGGTGATGTATTTGGTCGGTCCATACATTATGCCTGATAAATTGAATGGACCAATTTACAGACGCTTTCTCATGGAAGTCCTTCCTGAGCTTTTGGAAAACGTGCCAATAGCTATTAGGGAAAATATGTGGTTTCAGCACGATGGCGCGTCTGTCCATTTTCATGTAGGTGCTAGAGAGATAACATAAAAATAAGAACAAAGCATACACTCCAAGGGTCAAATTATTCGGAAACTATTATATTATAATATTTTGTATGAAGGCACTTCATTTTGTTGGTTTTCTTTTTTTGAAGAACTGCAAATAAGTAATTAAAAGTATGAGGAGTTATTTACAAAAATTAATAATTAATAAGAGCTAGAAGTTTTTTTGGGATAAAATTATGACGCCTTCAACAAGAAAATAATTTGCTTATCAGTTTTGAAACAATTTTTATGGGCATTTGGAAATTACTTTAGAGGTTTAACATCTAATATTTCAAAAATCAGTTACGTAAAAGGTTTATCTTTGTTTAATTCAATTATTGGTGGGCGCATACCGATAATTCTTGCCTTCAAATTCTTAGAATCACTTCCGATGCATTGGAAATTCCAATGAAGATTATCTTGGAAACGGTTACTTCTAGGGGACTTAGACAAAGTACACCTTTTTTACGTAAAAAAGGTTGGAGAATCGATTTTTTTAATATTCACATCGATGCAGCATACTGGAAAAAAGTTTTGATAATTTAAAAAAGTTCGATGTGCCGTAGGTGGCGCCCTCTAGTAGTGATATCAAAACCGTGAATGAATTTATATTTCTCATCCTGAAAAACCCCCCGATAGGTAATTTCGCATCGCTGTGTCGTTTTATTGAGGAATAATTGACAAAAATCGAAAATAAAATTAAAACTTTGACACCCTGTATCTTGAAAACTAAGCACTTTAAAGGCTAACGCTCACTGGAGCGCAGCGTACGGAAGCGCGGCGTAGAGGACTTTTTATAATACATTGTTTTAAATGAGAGTACGCTCACTTGTCGGAAGCGCACCGATCGGCATACTCCTATTTAAAACAATGTATTTTAAAAAGTCCTCTACGCCGCGCTTCCGTACGCTGCGCTCCAGTGAGCATCAGCCTTAAGGCTGCATGTTCCTATCTCAATTTTCATAAAAATGCGAGGTCTGTCACCCGTCAAGCGTTGTCGGTCGAATATCCGGACACCCTGTATATAGGATTCAAATGGACATCCATGATAACAAATTGAATACAACGTATTTTTTTCCTTTCCTGTATAATATGATGATATTAGTCAATAGTCATAGCCATGCATGCAGACATCCATGTCCCATGAGTTCCCCTTTTTTGTAAATTTGCATCTATTTTTACTTCTTTTTCTTTTTCTGCCGAGTAAATGCAATAACATAATTAACATGACATAAACCGTTCCGTTCTGCATCCTCAGATGGATTATAATTGAATCAAAAAGTAGTTGCTGGCATCTTATATACCGGCGGGGGAATAGAAGTAGAGATAGATATAGATAATATTATCCGTTCACAATCCGATGTCCACAGGTAGGTACAGGTAAAATCACCTTTCAATGCTATTTGATAGGGAAAGGTGATAAATTTACCTGCACCTGTGGACATTAAATTGTGAACAGGATATATTTGATGTACCGGGTTATTCACTTTATTTTGACCCCCCACCTGCAGCCTGTACCTTTACAGGTAGATGATAGGTGTAAATACAAAAGTTTAGCAGTTTCAGCTAAATTTTTAGAATCCATTGTCAGAAACAAAAAAATATTGTCAGAAATTTGAAATTTTGCGCACTTTCAACTTTTTTTCAAATGGAATACCTTATATTTGGTTCCAAATTCTAAATTTTCCGATTCTAGAAATATATAGTTTGTCTATATTTGGTTGAGCCGTCTCCAACATATTTGGCTCTAAAAAGTTATTTATGTATCAAGGGAATTATGAGGGTGTTAATACCCCAGGGCAACGTTTGTGTCCCGAGGGCCTCTGGCCCGAGGGACACCAATTGCCCATGGATATTAACACCTGATAATTCCCGTGGTACATAGATAATTTTATATCCTACTGAATTTATTGTATTCTGTCTATTTTTATAAAGGAATAAACCATAAATCAAAATTTCTATTTTTTGTCAAAGTTTTACCTATTCAAGGTAAAAGCGGGAGTTATGGAAATCCTTAACTCCCTTGGGAATTATGATATCCTTAACTCTCGCGCGGAAGTTATGAAATCCTTAACTTCCTTGAGAGTTAAGACCCTGTTCATGATTATCGTAACCAAGGTATTATATGGCTTTAATAGTTCAGTAGGATATAAAATTGTTAAAATACTATTCTACTGACTTGGATTTTGTGAACCATTCTACCTGTAAAGGTGAAAACTGCAGGTAAAATTTGAGGCACTTGGTTCCTTTGATAGTATTTTTATAATTTTTAGAACCAAATATGTTGGAGACTGCTCAACCAAATATAGACGAACTATATATTTTTGGAATCGGAAAATTTTGCTCTTCAAGAATATAGAATTAAAAATAAGGCGTTGCATTTGAAAAAAGTTGAAAATACGCAAATCTTCCAATTTCTGACAATAATTTTATGTTCCTGACGATGAATTCTAAAAATTTACCTGAAACTACACAACTTTTGTATTTACACCTATCATCTACCTGTAAAGGTAAAGGCTGCAGGTGGGGAATCAAAATATAGTGAATAACCCTGATGTACCTGATTATAGTCATTAGATACATTGATTTCAATTTTTTATGATAGTTGTTCATTTAATGGCCATTTGCACCGACCATTTCAAGGAAGCCTTAACGATAAGTATTCCTGAAGCCCAGTTTCACAATTGGTGTTAACCTGCACTAGTTAATAAACTAAGCCCGGTATTCATAGACGGGTGCTTGGCTCAAGCTCCGATTTTTGACAGTTGTGAGCATCGTTCCGGGCTGTTTGGAAACGTAAACATGGCGTTGAGCCAAGACGCAACCTTGAGCATCGACTATGAATACGGGCCTAAGGGCCCGTTTCTCAAACGCGGTAACCCAACGGTAACTACAACACACTGGTAATCCACAATAGGTATATCTGTTTCATAATATGTGGTTTAGTCAAACCAAAATCATTGGTACAACAATCAATCAATAATCACTGCAGGTTACCACCAATTGTGAAACTGGGCCTAATAGTTAAATAGCCTGAACTTTAATCAATGGTTTTGGCTCAACGACTCAACGACATAATGAAACCAGATATATTGTGGGTTACCTACCAGTATCTTGTGGTTAACACTATTTGTGAAAGTGGCCCTTTAAATTACATTTTTACATGGAGAAATATCACTTTAAGGAATACTTATTGCAAACCTTAAAATGGTCGGTGCAAACGGCCATGAATCCTATATATTCATATTTAAAATTAGCAAGAAGTACCTAAGCCCCAAAATGGCGGCAGAGCCTCTATTGTTGCGACTATATGTAAAGGTTTATTTAGTCACAGTAATATTAAATACAGGAAAGACCATATACATACCTATTATACGGACGTATGTCGCGCCTTTTCTATTTACCTTATGTGCGGATTTTGAAGCAGAGGAAGGGAAATAGAGGTATATGATCTCGCATAAGTCTATCTTTGTCAGACAAAATAGAACGAGGTCATGAACTACGCATACGTTTAATGCTTGATTCTTATTGGCCGGCGGTGGGCATTTTGTAAAATGCTTCTTGTGCAGTGTTCCTCGTCAAGTTGAGGATATTATGCGTCATTTTGACTTGCTGTGTTTTTCTGGTGGTTTTTCCTTAACTAAAAATGTTTAGTAGGTGTTCATAACTCTTCCTTTATATACCAGGGGCGCTCAAAAACTATGGCTATTACTAAGCTAAATGAGTTAATGACCAAAAATGTTCAAAAGTGTGAAAAATTGTGTACTTGTAGGTACTCAGGTACCTACGTTTTGTGATAAAAGTGACTTTCTATCTCAATGAATTCCAGTTCTCGCTACGCTTGTGCTAAACACTTTTTGCCCCATGATCCCTTGGCCTAGGGTTTAAGTGTTTAGTTATTAGGTATACATACACTTGGTGATTTGTTTGAAAAATCTAAACAGCCATGGAAAGAAAAGCAATGAAAATTGTTTTTTCATATTTTTTCATCATATTTCACTTGGTAACCATGGAAACCAAAACAGTGACCCTGTCAATAAAGCGAATTGTCTTTTTGTCACCTTTCTTGTGAAAATGGCAATTCGGGAAAGGTAATGTGCTACGTGTGCAATGAAGGACTAGAGTCAGAGTAAATCGCACTGTTTTATTACTGAAAGTTGCCGAAGTCCGTAGATTGGCTGTAAAGCGTCGAAACGAGTTAAGATTTAAGGATGAAAATCTTATTTTTGAGAACTCAAGGTGGATTTTGACATTGAAAACTTTGAAACATAAACAATAACGCTTGGCCTTGATTGGTCGGAAAATGAGGTATCCCTGCAGGTTGTAATCAGTTTTACAATTCATGAGGTGCAAATGGCATCTTGCGACTAATAAGCGGCATTGTTTATGTTTCAAAAGTTGACAGTGTCAAGTCAAAATTTATCTTGGTAAAAAATACAGTATATAGTTTGTCATACTTCTATTTGTGTTTGTTTTAAAAACAGATAAAGGCCCACCAAACAAGTACTTTTCAAAATACCCTCGTATATTCACATATATAGGCACCTAACTAAAAACATGCACTTTTCTGTAAAAGGTCTAAACTTAATTAACATTTTTTAAAGCTACCTACCACAAATAAACGCAAAAAGCATGAAAATTCAGTATTTTCAGGTTGCCTGAGGTAGTATTAAAAAACCCCCGTATATCCGAAACTGGTCATAGGATCGGTTTGTACCCATGAGAACTTTTACTCAGGAGATCGAAATATACAACATACCAAAATTTGGTTAAATTCCGCGTTCAACCAAAATCCCATAAGAAGTGTGCGGGGTCCGAAACAAAAATTGATTCCATCGAATAAACATTTCTCAATAAAACCTAAGGCAAAAAGAACTTTCAAGCTCCATTCGGTAAAGCCCTATACATTTATTGCAAAGAAACTTTCGAAATTTCCCATATTCCGAGAGCACTTGAAATTGTTTGTTTTGACGAAAAACTTTATTTTCCCATACGATTTTCGTCTTCCGACATAAAACTTTCACGAACTGTTGGATGATTTTTGTTTGTTTATTTCCTGTATCGATGGGTATTTATTTCCAATAGTTTTTGTCATTTATAGATCAATTTAAACTTTTGGAAGAACATATTTTTTCCTGAAACTATTGCTTATTCGTTAATATTTGAATACCTTTTCATTTCAGCGAAAGTTTTGTATGGAATTTTCAACTTTATTGGTAAAATAAAGAATTTTTCAAATCTAAATCAAAACCTTGAAAAAAGAAAGAAATGCCCGAAAAAAAGAAACCAAACATAATATATTTTATCTCAAACCAAAACTCCTCCTTTTATTTATTGAATTTCAAGAACCAATAAATGAAATAAATAAAACGGTCGAAAAGTCCACTTACCATTATAAGAACGGACCTGGGACCCTCCAGTATCCAATAATACGGCAGAAAGTAATAATACGCCCAAGTTCTGAAACATATTGGAAAATGACGGTTTTGAAGTTTCAATTTTATTCGTTTATTTGTTTTGTTTGCATGGATTTTTCAAATAATGTTACTACCTACTACTCTGGTATTTAATTTAATTTGAAACAATTTACAAAATAAGACATTAATAGTTACTTACGTTTTTACTTTCATACCAATCATTACAGCCAACCAAATAACGGTGAGTACGGCCGGTACCACCCAGCCGCACCAAATGTAAAAATTAATGTGCAGGTATTCTTGGAATACCGTCACGGTGATGACGTTGTGCAGATAGAGGCCCTCTATGAACATCCAGGTGAACATTGCAGTCTTGGCGTACTCCATTAGCACTGTGCAAACCTCATAGAGGTGATACTAGAAGGTGAAAAATAAATTTAAAAAAATATATATAAAAATAAATAAAATACATAAAAATAAAGTCTTGGTGTAGGGGCGTGACTGAAATATTTGAACAAAACATTAGAAAACATCATATTAATAGAAGGTATATAAACGAGAACTAGTAAGGGAAAAAATAATGAATTCTATCCAATGTTCCCATCTTTACCAAAAAAAACAATCCAAATTGGACCAAAGCCATACAGATCCTTACAAAATCTGAATTTGTTCCAAATGCGTTTCCTTTTGATTTTTTTCATAAAAACATCAAGAGAAACTGTCTTAAATGGGCGTACGATTTCATTTTAACGACATTTTTGTGATTTTTTCCAATCAAAATTGATTCAGCGTACTCCTAAATGTATTAAAGGTTGCATTTACAGCCAAATCCCAAATCCAGGTTACTCCAAAACCAACAAATAGAATATATAAGAAGGGATTTTAGTCAGCAGACTATGAACTTATTAACAAGCATCTACAGCAACAATTCTCCAGAATCACTGGTAACTATGAGCAGATCATGGGCATTCTGTCATTCATAATCAGCTCTTTCATTCCACTCAAAGTGAGGATTACCAATCCCCAGAAACCTTGGCTGATTCAAGAAATTTTTAAACACAAGCAACTTTGAAAATGACAAGTTGAACTACAGGAACCAAAATAATTTCCTCAAAGCCAAGATAATACATTCTAGAAGGAAATATGAACCAGAATTGACTCTTCTGATTGTGATTCTTCAAGTCTAATTTTCGTTTAAATTTTGCTTTGCAAGTGTCACATTCAAAAATATGAATAACCGAATGTGTTAATTTGTGATTCTTCAAATCGCCTTTTAGTTTCAATTTTACTTTGCAAGTTTCACATTCGAAAGGATAAATATCCGAGTGTATTAGTTGATAACTCCTCAAAAAGCGTTTTTGTTTGAATTTTGATTTGCAAGTGTCACAATCAAAAGGATAAACATCCGAAGGTGTTAACATATATGAGTCTTCAAATGACCTTCTCTGTTTAAATTTTGCTTTGCAAGTATTACATTCGAAAGGGAAAATATCCGAGTGACAGTTTCATTCCTACATAAACAGATCTCTTGGTTCAAGACTTACACATTTCTCACTCAAAAATGTAATCACCAACTGTACCTTAAGTTGCCAATTTATCTGCAAAACAGTTTCAGAGTGTTTTTACAAGAGAAAATCCAAGTCATATGTTTTACCTGGATCCTGATACATTTTGTGGTAATTGACTTGAAACTCTAACATTGACACCTGAGAAATTGGAGACTGCACTCGATCATTGAAGCCAGATTCTAGTTCAAAAGAGGATGAAATCCCTTCCATTTTCCTGAACAAGTGTGTGGCAGTTCTGTCACATCCCCTCTCAGCCATAATGAACAATCTTCTTGAGTAGGTTAAACTACCAAGGAAATAGGAGAATGTTATTGTAGTGCCTATTTACAAGAAAGGCAACGAACACCTGCCTGAAGACTATAGGCCCATTAACTTAGCGAGAAAATGCACGGGGAAAGTTCTGGTATCTGAGATGACTGAATTTTTGCTCGGAAATGGAATCATCCCAACACAGGTTTTTTCCTGGAAGGTCTACTTTCACGAACCTGCTTACGAAGGTCCACGACTAGACAAAAGCAGATGACTCTGACCAGTCTGTAGAGATTTTTTGCAGGATCGACAGGTTTGTCCATGAAGTCAAATTCCTGTGAAGTTTTTAGTGGTTTCTCCTAAGGCTCAGTCCTTGACGCTCTACTCTTTCTTGTAAATATAAGTAACCTGCCGAATAAATTGAGGAGTCAGATGTCACTTGCAGATGATACCTGATGTTATAGTATTCCTGTAACGTAGAATGGAGGCCTCCAGGGAAATATAGATACCATCAAACAGTAAAGAACCACCTGGCAAATGCCACTGAATGACTCCGAATGGGTTTACCCAGGTAACCTGTGTAGCTAAACAAAATAATTCGGAAATTGTTGTCATTGAAAACATGAAGTGGAAAAACCATATCAATGGCATCATAAAGAAGTCAAACTTCATCATGTACCTGATTTCCTAGGCATTTGAAGACCTCACACCCCAAATGTTTGTAAAGCTGTACAAGGCTCACATGAGATCCAGGCAAGGACTTTAAAGAAAAAGTCCGACGCTGAGCAACAGAAATTCCCCCAGCTCTTCGTGACTTTCCATACCAACAAAGGCTGTAAACGCTGAATCTCCATACACTTTATGAGAGACGACCGCGTCGCTACTAAACATTCACAATAAATAATGGACTCTACAAGTGCCAGTTAAGTGTGTTTGAGTTCAGTGACAGCCAAGATCTAAAGGATCATAATAAGAAACTCTGTGAAAAGAGATGTTCTAAGCTTTCGCCTAGGAATACAGATACAGTGAGCTTTCTAAGAGGAAACAACAAAATGCAGACTTCACAGCAGACAGAAAGATATTCTCCAGGAATTTGCAAACACGTCCAGAAAATCAAGGCGATGCAAAAGCCCCAGCCAACACAGATATATTCCGCAAATACTGGAGCTCTATGTATTTGGTCAGAAGCAGTCGACCATAACAGAGAGTCCGAATGGGTTGCAGATTTTGAACAAAGTGCATCGGAGGTTGAAGAAATTTCTGGGTATCACATAACAGCAGAAGATTTTCCCCAGGTTATCAGGAGGACCAGCAATTGCAAGTCGCCAGGACCGGAGGACACAACTTCTGAATCAAAAAACTAACAGCATGTTTTTTAAGCCTTGCTCGTTGTTTTACGGAAGCATTAGACAATCTATCGGAATTTCCCAAGTTTCTGACAGAGGGAGACACCTGTATGCTGTTCAAAATGCGAGACCCCGCTGTACCGAGCAACTACAGACCAATCACGTGCCTGTCGGTAATATACAAGCTCTTCACATCACTTCTTAACAACCGAGTATACGAACACTGCACCACAAACAATATAGTGGAGGAAGTGCAAAAGGGTTGCATCCGAGAATCGGCCGGATGCAAACATCAACTCTCCATACATGCAGTGGTTATAAAACAGGTCCAGACTAGGAAAAGAATGTATGCTACATTGACTACCGCAAGGTATTCAATTCTGTCCCTTATAATTGGCTCATGAAAGTACTTGAGATCTACAAAACACTCTTACGTTAAGTTAAAATAACCAGAGGTATTTTCCAAGGAGACTCCATATCGCCAATGTGGCTTGAGCCACATATCTACAATTCTATACCACACGAAAATTGGGTACAGACTTAACATCAGGAACAGGCGGAGGTTATCCCATCTCCTATACATAAATGACCTGAAGCTCTTCGCAAAGAACCAGACTGGATTGCACTTTCTAATAAACACCGTAAGGACCTTCAGCGGGGACATTAGCATGTCGTTTAGACTTGACAAATGCGCTATCATCAACATAAAGCGGGGCGTCGTAGAAAGACAAGAAGACCAATTCCAAGATATCGAAAACTTGCAACTCGAAGATATATGCAAGTATTCAGGAATGTCTCAAATCCAACGTATCGACCACACGCACCTGAAAAACATGTTCTCCGAGAAGAGAGTACTCACGGTTCTGAACACCAAGCTCTCGGCTAAAAACCAGAGTAAAGGTATAACACCGGTTCTAGCACAAAATGAGTCGTTTTCCCATATAAATCTCCATAAGAAAATCTAAGGTCCGTTCTGGCAATTTTCGAACGATTTTAGATTGGTGGTAAAATTTCAATGAATTTCTAGGATTATGGTCCGCCCCCTCTCTAGAGATAGGTCTGTGTATAGCTAGATAGGTCTGTATTAAGCTAGACAGGTCTAGAGACAGTTGCGTATACAGCTATACAGGTCTAGGCACTGGATACAGGTATTGAACTGACCCGTATTACAGGCCCCCGATTTCTGGCGCTTTGTTCTCCGGACTCCATTTAAATAACCTAAAACTCATAACCTAAAAGTTGGCTCCCGCCACATTTCCAGAACGGACTTTAGATTCTCTTATGGAGATTTACATGGGAAAATGACTGATTTTGTGCTAGAACCGGTTTTGCACCTTCACTAACCAGATTACCGCTCTGCGTCCTTATTTTTGAAATAGGGGAGTAGCGTTCGCAGGAGAACGAGTATTCTGTCTTTCTCAATGATATGCGAATGATAACAGTATAAGTAACAAAGACGGAACAGTGGTTCTCCTGGGAACGCTGCTCCCGTTTCTAAAGAATAAAGCCCCTGAACACTTGTGCAGTTCTCCTGTCTTCGTCTATACCTCCACTGTCCTGGAATGGTCTGATGCTGACCCTAATGAACTTGATAGGCTAACCTGATCACCTTGACCTCGAGATCAAAATAGGCTCAAGGCAGGAAAATCAAGCCTCATGGATAGAACCAGCCTTACATGGTAAGTTTTCAAGAAGTTTAGAAGCGGAAAACGTCGATAAGCCGACCTATCATAGCTCGGCACAGGATTTCTCTACCCGAAAACAGAGGTATTTTTCATGGCCATCCAGGACCTGCAACTACGAAAAATACTGCGTACACCTGAAGGTACCAAGCCAGGTGCCGCAAGTATAGAGCATACCATCGCAGGCTGTAGATCACTCGCAGCTAACGCATCCCTAATACGTTATAATCAAGTGACCAAAATCATCCAGCAACAGCTGGCACTCAAGAAAGGAATTCTTGAATCATGTCCACCGTATTACAAATACCAGCCCCAAGCGGTCTAAAAGAAACAGACAGAACGGTCTTATATTGGGACAGGCCTATAACAACAGATAGGACAGTGGACTACAATTGAAAAAGATCAGAGAATTAAATTTTTTTTTTTTTTTGTGGATACACTCTACGAACACCATTAAGGTAGTTACATGTAAAGGAATAAACATTCACAAATACAACCATGCACCTTGCCGGGACTCCAACCCGGGACCATCAGCATGCGAAGCAAATCACTATCCACTACGCTGCCTGGTCAGCAAAAATTGGTAATATCAATTGGTTGGTGAGAACCAATTCAACAAACTAACTGGATTTCAAGGCGATAAATGAGAGGATGTGCAAGCTAAGGTAAAATCCAGGTTCTTCAACCGATCCATCATCAACATCCATAGCCCAACAGAAGAACAAGATCTGGCATACGGAAACTGCCCAAGAAGCGACATAAACATCGTAATACGGAACATAAATGCTCAAATACGCCGAGAGAAACAGTTTCTAGGGACCATAGGCCAGGTCTTCATAGACAGAAGAACAGGCTTACCGATGCAGGTGAATTTTAGATGCAAATATCCAGAAATATCATCAGGACAAGCCCAGCACCGGAAATGCTCGAGATTGAAGAAGTCTCTCAAAGATTCACAAGAACTTTCCCGAAGATATTAAAGCTTTCTTTAAACATACAACTTTCCTGCTTTTCCCGAATCGAAGGGCCGGTGGCCCTGGTAGGCTTGACTCTTGAGACTGAGAGATCCTGGGTCGGTCTGACCTACCCTATTCGCCCCTGGGAACATTGGAATAAACTTAAATCTGAAATGCTAGAGACCGCAACGCAAATAATAGGCAAAAAGAAGAGACAGTAAAGGGCGGACTGGTTTGATGATCGGTGTAGAAAGAGCGAAGGACAATTAACTAGTGATCCAAAAAAAAAAAACAAGAAAACATGGAAAACATACTTCCAAAATGTATTAAGATCGCAAGATATGGAAATGCAAGCAAAAGAGAGGAAGTGATCGACGACCTCAACGTTGGGCGACTTCAAGTGGGCAATTAGAGCGCAGAACAACAATAAGGCGCCAGGAATTGACAAACTCTCCTCTGAGGGGCGGAACACATAAAAGCAGAGGTGCCTGCATTGGTTTCAAAGATCTGGACAGAAGAGATAATCCCCTAACACTGAAGCATTGGAATTATTTCTATTTACAAGCAAGGACACAAATTGAGCTGCGAAAACTATCAAGGAATTCCCCTCCTATGCATTGCCTATAAGATATTCACGTATATCCCAAATAAGCGTTTACAACTAATCTCAAAGAATATAATTGGTGAATATTAAGCGTGAGAACATAATATGGACATTCATAACGTCTTCATAGACTACAAAAGAGCATACGACACCATCAATAGAATCAAGGTCGACGGTTTCAATAAATACCACAACAGAAACAGTGCGAATACAAAATGATATGACTGATATGCTCAAGATAAATGAAAGTTTCAAGCAAGGAGATGCACTACCTTCCACAATGTTCAGCTTGGCGCTAGAGTATGTCATTCGAAAAATAGACGTAGGAAGATCAAACCCATTAACATTTAAGTCCGTACAATTATCGGCATACGCAGACGACAAACATCTTGTTTCCTAGAGCAAAAGACAGACCAGAAATATATATGAATCTGAAGAAAGAAGTCAAAAACATCGGACATGGAATAAACACACAAAAATCAAAGACGTTGACGCAGACTCGAAAAAGAAGAAACAAGCAAGGAAAAGGACTAGCTTCCACACTGTTGAGCTTGGCGGTAAAGTACGTCATTCGGAAAATAGACATAGGAAGATCGAACCCATTAACATTTAAGTCAGTACAGTTATCGGCATACATAGACGACAAACATCTTGTTTCCTAGAGCAAAAGACAGACCATAAATATATATGAATCTGAAGAAAGAAGTCAAAAGCATCGGACTTGGAATAAACACACAAAAAACAAAGACGGTGATACAGACTCGAGAAAGAAGAAACAAGCACAGAGTAGGACTAGCTTCCACACTGTTCAGCTTGGCGCTAGAGTACGTCATTCGAAAAATAGACGCAGGAAGATCAAACCCATTAACATTAAGTCAGTACAATAATTATCGGCATTGGCAGACGACAAACATCTTGTTTCCTAGAGCAAAAGACAGACCATAAATATATATGAATCTGAAGGAAGAAGTCAAAAACATCGGACTTGGAATAAACACACAAAAAACAAAGACGCTGACGCAAACTCGAAAAAGAAGAAACAACAATGACAGACGCGTTAGAGTTGAGGATCATCTTGAAACGGTTGAGAGCTGCAAATACCTGGGAGTGGAAATAAATACATAGGGGTACGAGGAAGGTGAAATACAGAACAGAATCCAGACGACAAATACAACATTCTCCTCTATGTATCAAGCATTTCTCACTGGAACCATCCATCGCGAATCCAAGATCAGAATCTGCGAAATTATCATGAGACCAGTTCCATGTTATAGATGCGAAGCATTGGTCATGATTGACAGCCTGAAAAGCAAGCCGGAGATTTTTGAAAGAAAAATCCTCCGTAAAATATATGAGGCGTAAATGGGAATGGGATATGGAGAACACACTATATCAACTGGTCAGAGAAGCTTCCATCTCAGAATTCATCGGCCTGTTTAAAAAATTTGGATGGACGAGCTTTAAATTCTGTACTCTCATATACGGGATAATGAGGATAATGAACTTCCTCCTACGACGCCATTTTGGAACAGTTTTGACAGGTCGTTGGAACGCCTAATTGAAAAAGAATCATTTTTGTACTGGTTTCAACAAAAAATATCAATAATTTGAGGAATCTAATTGTTTTTATGCCAAGTTTCAATAACATTCTCACTAACTTTATTTACAGAAAATCCTATTCAACTGCCTTAAGCCTCTACCCTCTCAACTTCTATTCTTTGTGTAAATTTTGTCGATATCCTTTTGCCGACGCTGTTTATTTAACTTGCAATTACACTCTTTTATGTTTAAAGCTGCTTATTTTTATAAAATATTACTTACATCGTCTAATAAAAACTTTTTGTTTTCCTCCAATTCCTGGTCGATATATTTCACTAGTCTGAACAATACTTGGAATAAGGTTGCGAAAAATAGGTTTTTATGTATTTTGGTTCTATTATTTTTCAATATCCTAAAAAAAATACAAAACATTAAAATATATTTATAACAAAAAAATCTTGTGCTTACCTATAAGAAAAAAATATGTATAAAGATAACATTAAAGATAAGGATGACAGTGAGAGCCCCACCATTTCTATAAGTCTTGTAACTCTTCCTATCTGAAATCAATAAAACAATATTACAAAAAGTAAATTTTTATAAAGCATTTCCTATAAAAGTTAGATTTATTGAGTTTGGTATGACTTTCCTAATCGGTATTTACTTTTCAGTTTCGTAAACTTTTCAATACATATTTGAAACTTTTGCAATTTCAGTAAACATTTTCACAAGGGGGAAACGAAATCGATAGGTATACAAACTATTCAAAATTATCAACTATGTATTTGGTGAAAATAATTATTAGAAACTTTTATTAGTCCAATTAATCTTAGTCTACTTACTCGGGCACATTCATAAGGTCCAAATTCGTTACACATATCGGAAAGTTGCTGAATTTGTGGCATTATGCATGTTTCATAGTGCGTATAATTTGTCGGATTTCCAAACGGATCGTATTTGACTTCCCAGGTACCGCTAAATGTGCAATATTTGTATGCTAAACCTACAAAGAATCCTCTAATAAATGTGTGGTCAGTTCCAAATATTGTAATAATAATTTCATCTAATATGAAATTTACCGTTTTCTACAATTCCTCTGATTTTTGGACAAGGCATCGTGGCATTTCGTCCTGCCAATGTGCCCGGCCAACACGTCCATTTGTCGCACACTTCTGCACAAGCCGTAGCTGCTAATTCTGGAATAGAATTATGAAAATAATTAAAAATATAAGTGGGTACGGGTACGGTACGATAACTAAAAGACTATATAAATACACATAAATGTGTATATAGGTACGATTACTAAAAGATTATAATAAATACAAATCAAGAATGGAGTACTTTCCCCTTCGTACGCAATTTATATGTATATATTTTTTTTTTGTGTTTCTCTTTGCAATTATTTTAAAGTCTGTTTTCAAGTCTTGTCTTTTGAGGTTGGGGTTTCTGATCTGATTGAACTTGGCGTTCAATTCCTTCATTAGATTTTTAGTTGGTGGTCGAAGGGATTATAATCGAAAGAAGATCGAGCAGTCACAATTTGTTCAGATCGGAAAAATAAACTGTTGAAACACCGGCTGAATAGCCTCGGAACAGGACGAAAAATAGGAGAAGATCTAAAGAAAGTTAAGGAAAATTGAAGGATTAAAAAATTTTTGGTCCTGGGCGGTACTTGAACCCGCGTCCTCAGCATTTCCGGTGCTACGCTCTAACCAACTAAGCCACCATGACCCTACAGGTCTTTTTGATTGGTATTGTTAGAGGAAGTTGCGTGGTTCTCCGCTATTTTACAAACTCCTCAATCCTCCAATAAACCCACTCATTTATGGGATCGGTCCTAACTCGAATAAGCTGCTCATTACTATGTAGGTTTTGTCCGCATGTGTGTTGAAAGTGGGTGTATGCGATGCCCGCATAAGCAATGTTGAAAAGAAATAAAGTTTTGTCGGTTACAACAACCGAAAAGCGTGGAAATTGAAAATGAAGAGAAAGTTAAGAAAAATTGGAGGATTAAAAATTTTGATTCTGGGCGGGATTCGAACTCGCGTCCTCAGCATTGTCGATGCTACGCTCTAACCAACTAAGCCACCCTACAGATATTTTTGATTGGTGTTGTTAGAGGAAGTTGCGTGGTTCTCTGCTCATTGCCAAACTTCTCAAGCCTCCAATAAACCAACACATTTATGGAATCAGTCATGACTCGAATAAACTCCTTATTAATATGTAGGTTTCGTCCATGTTTGCTGAAACTTGGTGTATGCGATACCCGCATAAGCAATGTTGAAAAGGAATGAAGTTTTGTCGGTTACAACATTGAAGGATTGAGAAGTTTGGCAATGAGCGGAGAACCACGCAACTTTCTTTGCGGGCATCGCATACACCAAGTTTCAACACAAGCTTGAAAAAGAAATGATTAAGAATCTCAATCAATAAGATAGATATCTTAAATTAAGATAGGTATGTTTAATAATTTAGATGATAGCTGAGTATATTATATTTAGGTATAGTTTAAGTAAGTAATATAGATAATAGATAGCTACACCACGTACAAGCAGATTAATTTCTGCTTCTGTGATTATTGTTTATTTGCTAGATGTAGGTAAGTTTTTTCCACTGTAAACTTGCTATTGTAAACTTAGTAAATAAACTTTATTATTATCATTATTATTATTATTATTATTATAAGCTGCTTTCGGAAATGTAAATCCTGGATCGAGTAGGTTAATATCAGCTGATCGCGGTTAAACTCTTTTTCAGAGTAGATTATTCAACGTTTCCGAACGATTGGGATCGACGATCGCCGGCACCTGCGTTTGTTTTTCTCAATGAACCTTTTTTTTTCAACGATTTGAGGTAAGGTCTTTATTTTTGACTTTTCAAAGACGCAAACCACCCCAAACACAAAAAATCATGAGAATTCAAACACAAAACTTGACAAAACGGAAACAAAACATATGTAACAAACATAACACCACCAAATAATGAGCAGCTTCTAGTGATAATAGACTACTATTCGCGCTACCAAAAAATCCAATTCTTAGAAACATCAACATCAGGAGTTATCATAGCAAGTCTACTAGAGATCTTTTGTTGTTTGTTACGTGGAAATACGGACACTGCCAATTTGTTACCCGCAAAACGCGAGGGAGAGGTAAATATTAAAATTTGAGGAAGTGAGACAGAGAATGGGTAACTAAAACAAACAAAAAAAAAAAAGAGAGGGTTGGTTGGTGACTGAAATCTAGAAAGTGTGAAGGGTTGCCGACTAGCTTCCAATGCGGAGAGGGGTGTGGGTCAATTAAATAACTAAATATAGAACGCCACCTGCTTTTTCCCTGCAGTACACGAAGTCAACTGATATAACGAAAGCAGAAAACTTCTACGGACCTATAGCAGCACAACCTGAAATATAAACGTAAAGAAGAAGGAAGGACAAAAGTGAAACGCTTTGCTACAATCAGGTACGGGTTTTTAATTAGAACTAGAACAGAACAGGTTTGACTCCAGAGCAGGTTCGGAGTGGGTTTTCCGACCGCCCTAGAACACTGAAAATTATTCACACTGGAACCAGAACGAGAAAATAAATCGTCTCGGAGTACCTAACCATATGTTCTTAAAATAGTATTTACAATAATTATTAATTACTCAACTTGAGTCCCTAAATAAAGAAATAAAGAGTATTTTATAACAATGGCAGCAAATATCCAGTTAAGTTCTCCAAAATTTTATAGAGGGCGCGAGTGAACTTGGAGTGCTTCAAATTTTGGCGGGAAATGTCAAAGATTTTAAACCGTTCAAATTGAGTAGAAGGAAAGATGACTGCAATGTGAACAATGGACAATGAATGAGTTAAAATATCTTCCAAAGCATTCAGAATATTTTTAAAAGTGTCAGCGTCCGCTTGTCTTGAAATCACACATCAGATTTAATTTTTGAGGTTAAAATTACAATCAATTATTTACGCGCCAAAATTTAAATAGCTCCAAGTACAGAAGCGCCCTCTTCAACTCAACTGTCAATATTATATGCCATTAACAGCAATAATACCTGAAATATAATTAAATTAATCAATAAGCTCACTAAATGCAGTACCTTCGTAAATGGCCATTTAACCCCAGCGTACAAGTATTTCCTGTATTCAGTGCAGCATGTATTTATGGGATAGTTATTAGAGAAATATAGATCAATAATTACAGTTGAAGTAACAATACATAGCCTGAGGGGCAAATTTAATATTATGGAATAATATAGATGGTATAGATAAATACTTAAAATTGAAGTACCTAACAGTACATAACCTGAATGGTAAATTTCATATAATAAAGGTAATATACACTTGGCCAAACATAAAACTGGTACGCATTTTCCTATTGTGTTGTATTGTGTAAATCGACCTTTTTTGTCACCTCAACAATGACAAAAAGAGTCAAGTCAGTGTCATATTTAAACCAATCATAACATAAAAACATGTTGCATTTACTTTTGTTCAGCTTTGACATTGACAAAAACTGTCTAGCCTATGTTTTTCAGAAGAGACTTTCTGCTGTTAAGCCTGATTCACACTAGGCAAATTTAAAGTATATATTTTGCCTGTACCAGTTTTATGTTTGGCCAAGTGTATATAATTAATTAAAATTGAAATAACAACATCTAATCTGAAGGGTAATTTAATATTGTAGTAGAACTGCGTTATTGTGGTGATTTACTCCAACAAGGGGTTGGTAAGGTTTGATATTAAGACAATACAACACATTTATCAAACCTGAGTAGTCCCTAATCTCTTGGGAAGAACCTGACGGATGGGATTAATATCTTCCAGTGTTTCCGATGGCCTGGGACTGGATCAGGGTCGCGACAAGAAGCAACTGGCCCTGGGCACTGAAGTTCAGTAACTAGGGGTCACTAAGGCTTCCAATTGTCTAGAGGAGGCTGAAGATTGGAGGTACTACTTGAAACATACAGTAAGCTCAATGTGTAGCTCTTTACTCAAGTTGAGGACTAAGCGTGACGAATAAATGGTGACGAATAAAGCTTGATGAGTAAAAGGTGATGATTAAAGCGTAACGTCTAAAGGTAAAGGCCTGAAACAAATGGACTTTATGAGACTGGGCGTGGAGCGATAGGTAGGCATGTCCGAAATTCGGAATTTAACCGTATAATTAACAGAAAACTATGCTTTTACAGATTAATAACAGATTAATAAGAAAAACCACTAACCAAAATTCTTTGGCCTTTAGGAACAAACAATTGATCACGTTGCTGTTTTTCGGCTCACAAAGTAATCCGCACAAGGCGATTTGCTGCTAAAATAACGGATTAGCCACCCTAGATTTATGAGCGAAAACTAGACAACTCAGAAAATCGGCAAAATGTGCCTGAGGAATTTTCCCGAACACTTAATCGTGGTGGAAAGTCCTCGACCTGAATGACCTCTACTTGTCCCTGCAATGTCCTTTAGAAAGGCTCTGTCAAAACTCCAAAGTGAAGGGTTCTGGGGATTTTGATGGTAGTTGGGGCATGGGACTTATTCAAATTAAGTTAGTACCGGTCATTGACCCTATTTGGAGCGCTGTCAATTTAGTCAGTCTGATCGGATCAGATAGTCAGCTGTTCCAATGTAAATATTGTAATTTTGTTTATTAATAAATTAATTGTCTATTTATTTTAACCCTACTAACAGGAAATCAATTCCATTAATAAACCTCTAACCTAATGATTCTGGGAAGAATGAAAAGTTTGATGAAAAGTGTGGCCACAACTATTGGATAGAAAACAGTGGCTTGACGAAGGTATGCTATTCATTGAGGCGAATACGCTTATTTCCTTTGATTTTGGCCTAGGAAAAATCATCCCGTAACACGTTCAGGTATCCCTTGCTCACTTAGAGCAGATAACGGGCCACAATTTGCCAGCCGAGATTTCAAAGATTTCTGTAACCAGAACAATATTAAACTAATCCACACCACCCTTCTGGCCTCAAGCAAATGACGAGGTTTAAAACATGAATCGGGCAATCCTAAAACGACTACAGATCTGCCATGCAAATAAATTGAGTTATCGAAACGAAATATAAAAGTTTACTCGAATGTACAACACTACACCACACGGCACAACAGAGAAATTTCCATCCCAGCTTCTGTTGAACAGAAATATTCGGGACAAAATATCATCCATAAATGACTTAGTAGCCGAGACA